GGGGGGAGAGAGAGAGAGCACGATAGAAGGTAGAATGAAATGCACTGTAAAGGTACATATAAACTATAATTAAAACAAACTCCCACCATTTTTTGATCGACGATAACAATTATCGGGGAGTTACAGGATATTGGAAAATCGAGTATTCGCGAAATGTATATAACTATTGATTATTGAACCATTTTTATCAGACTGCTGTTTAGTAAGCAGAATCATTGAAACAGTCTAAATGAAGATGATGCGAATGCTTTATATGTGTAAAAACAGAAAAGATACATGGAACGAACAGTTTTGGCAGCGTTTAAATAATTGGTCAGATACAAATCTGAAAATAATTCTATCTAATAATTGGATTATTAAAATAATTACGTAGGACATTTAAGAATATTACATTTATTTTGATTTATAATGAAAAAATTATAAATTATTCTAAATAAAAAATTAAATATAAAGAGTAGGAATGTAATAAGTGTCATTAAGAAATAATGACAAAAATCTCGATTCTTTTTATATAAGTATTTTAAAGATTATTTATGTAATTTCATTGCGATGCAGAGTTGTTTTGTAATTAAAAATTAAATTTTTTATCAAGCATACAAATAAAGTGAGTGATGGTACAAATAAAATTTTTAATATTATTTTATTATTATCATTTATAATTATATATTATTATAAATGCGACTTAAAATAAATCTAAGTTTCTTATAGGTTCTTCTTATATATTGTATATTGTAAATATAAAAATTATAAAAATCAGTGTAATGCAATAGATTAAACTAACTGCTAGAGTATAGAAAATTTGATCATTATCATGCTTAAATGTCCTACGTAATAATTTTCGTGATTCAAAAAATTGTAAAAAAAATTCTTTTTCAAATCTATTTTCAGATTTCGGCGAATTTTTAGATATTTCAAAGCAAAAACTGCTCACACACACACACACACACACACATATATATATATTTAATTAATTTCAGCTGGCGAGGGATCTTATTAATCTTATAAACAATGTCATTAATGTATAACTACCAGGAAAGCGTGCTAAACAGAGCGACGCCTAAGCGTTTTAGCATGACACGTATGCCGCATATTGCATGCGGCATTGTTTTACAACAACGACATTCGCCGTCATGATTCACACGCGTTCACCGCGTTCATCGCGAGTTCGCCCCCTGCAAGAATACATAATAAAATTTGGAACGTTCAATTTCCCGGTAAATCTCTCAAGAGCGTGCGACCCGGCGTGAACCGCCAATCGATATATAGGCTAAGCCGGCTGACGTGGCTGCAAGTTTTTCATGCGTCACGTCTATTAATGCGGCTGTATATACCTGCCTGCGTATATCGTTTTCTTTTCTTTCTTTTTTTTTTTTTTTTTTTTTTCGTATACGAGGTCTGCCAACAGATGTATCTCCACGCGGGAGAAACGCGCGCGATTACGACATGCCTAAAAATACCCGAGTAAGCCGGGATGATCGATATTTCAATCGAAATTCGTACGATAAAATTGTACAAATTAAAATCGCGATAGAGCGTAACGATTGCGTGTACGCTCGGTATTATTATACGTTAATGTTGACGTTGAATTTAATATTAAATGTACACTTTGTGCACAACCGACGTTCGTCGGTCTTTTCGACAATAACCGACGAATTACGCTCGCTCTGGCGATGGATTCGCGATAGATAAAGATTGAATGGCAAACGATCCGTAACGCGAATTAAATTAATTGCCTCCAGTAGAATAACATCTCGACCGGGACGAGGCACAGCAAAAAATGCTAATCGCTCCTACGGTTGCGTAAGCGAAATTAAACAGGAGATCACGTGGCGCGTTTCGACCTCGTTGAAAACGCTCGACGTGACCGCCGTTTGCATTCTCCAGCCGTCTACGTTTCTACGCGAGTAGCTTTTAACAGTTAATCTACGACGAGTGTGACCCCGAGACTGAACAACATCTTTCTTTCTTTTTTATTTTTTTTACGCAACGCAAAATAGCCAAGATGAATAGCCACGTATGCCGCCCGATAAGGATAACACGCCGCGCTATCGGGTCAAGCCTTTAAATGCGCACAGTGTATCGCTCATTCGATACGCTCTCTCAACGTGCGGCTTTCAAAAGCGCTCTTTCTGAGGATATCCCTTATCAACTATCTCTCGCTGTACAAACACGGCGCCGTGCAAACATATTGTAAAAGTGACGTAACTGCCGTCGTGAGAGAG